AGGACGCCTGGGGCAGAGCAGCTTGGGTGCTGCTGGGTTGGTCCAGTAGTGCCGAGGAGCGGGCTGGCTGCCCCGGGCTTCCTGGAATCAGCCGCTGATCAGTTTCAGCAGCAGCTGACTTGGGGACGCCTGGGTTTCTTAAGTTGAATCTGTATGTAAGTCAGAACTGGCGTCCAGATTCAGCCACTGTTGAAACTGATAGGGACCTACAGTCCCTATCTTGTACGTAACCCGGAGACTGCCTGTAATTAAGTCCCCATGCACATTTGCTCTTTGAGGTCTTTGCTAATATGGCCAATTATGAGGTGAGAAGGTGATTTTGTGATTGGGACACTAGCATGTTAGAAACTGTACTGGGATCACCAACTCGCTGAAAATAGATCACTGACAGGCACCAGTTATTAACAATTTTCATTCACTTTCAACCTGTCTCAGATATAGAGAGGCTTCCTAGTGGAAGGTTTTGTAGTCCATTATCAAACCCTTCAGCAACTCAGTACTGTACCTTCGCTGCGTATTACTTGTTCAAAAGGCAGTGAACCCTTTGACACAGGCAGCTTAAATTTTCTTAAGTTACACATTAATACTGTGGTTGTTATTGGTGGAAACCCAGGTCCTGCGGGTGCCAGAAGGTTAAATAACAACCTGCAAGTTAATTGACCAGCACAGGAAGGATTGTTTGAAGCCAATATAAAATACTGTGGCTGCTTCATTTTAGATCATGCTGAAGCAGGGAAAAAATGTTTTGTATTCAAGTAAAGGTTACACTCATTTCCTGAAGACGATGATGACGAAAATGCTAGAAACAATGCAGAAAGCTGTAAAACTGGGAAGGGGAATGTCAGTACAGTAGGCAGACATGATTAACATCATAGTCCAATGGCACAAAGAGCCAATGCATGGAACAGTGATCGGGAAACCAGATTGTTCCCTTTTCTCTGTACTATTGCAATCAACATATTTAATGAGCTGGAACCAACATGGGCACAAAGACAAAACATACCAAGTTAGGTCATTGACATGCTGTGCAGATACTGAGGCTTGGCAGCCATTTTCCTAGAGTGGCTGTTGCATTGTGCAGTATGGGTTCACTGGGCTCTCTCATACTGAGAATGGCTAAATGTAAACATTGATTAGCCGAGGGTTTTGAGATTTTTTTTTTTATTATTATTATTATATTCCCTGGAAGTAAAACCTTTCCATTGAAACTAGAGAGGCCAGAGGGAAGCCTGGTCTGGAAAACAGAAGCCAAGACTGGAAAGTCTGTCTGATCTGAATTCAGACCAGCAAGCGCTTGGTAATAGCTCAGGTATCCATTTTGCATCATCTGTTGTGGCTCTCTGACAAGTGGTTAAGGATGTTAAATTTAGGTTAATTTAGATGTAATTTTCATTGACTATTCAATTAGTTGATAAGGGAGCCTCCACCTTTGAAATAAAGCAAGAGGCCTGCCAGCTGTTGCTACATTTCAAAGGTGGAAGCGCTGCAGGGGGCCCGGCCAGCGGGAGACTCAAGCAGCGACGGACTTGTTCATTTCAAAAGCAGGGAGTGCAGGGCCAACAGGGGACTGAGAGTCCTCAGCTCACCCAAGGCTCCCCGCAGCGCTTCTGCTTTTGAAATGTAGCAAGAGCCTGGCTCATGCTACATTTCAAAGACAGAAGCGCCGCCAGTTCCCCGCTGTGCCCCTGCCTCTTCTCCCCACAGAGACGGTGCTAGAGGGAACCGGTTTTTAAGCCAGCTCTCCCCCTCCCCATCCCCAGCACCGGATGCTGCTCCTCCCTTGCTGCCTCTCTCTGAAAGAGGCAGCAAGTGGGAGGGGAGGAGCAACTAGTTGAATCACTAGTCAATTATTATCGGCTAGTCGACTAGTTGCTTACATCCCTACAAGTGGTAGAGTAGCTAAATGGGAGTCTTGAGGAGATCAGGTAAATGTGAACTCCTTGCACCCACAAAAAGAGCAATAGTAATGGAAATATACATGCTACTCTCCTCTTCCCCACCCCCCAATAACTTTTCACAAAAATAACACGTTCAGCAGTAATATTGGGAGGATAATTCATTTGAAAGGCAACCTCTAAAACATTTCTAACCGATTATAGGATTCCAGTTTAGTGATTTAGGCATGCAATACCAGATGAGGGCTTCTCTCACTATCGCACTCTTCCTGGTCCACAGTTGATAACCCCAAATAGGCAGCGTTAAACACCTTTCAGACATTCATGTATCATCCCATGATGCTTAGAAACCCACCTCCAAATCGCTTCTCTGGAGCTGCTGAGTTGGTAATTGGGAACAAGTCCATGGAAGTAGGGAGAGTGTGACTGTTCCAGATGAAAAATATTACTCTTGAACCATTCAGAGCTCCTTCCTTTCGGCTGTATGCTAAATGAGTAATGCATTCTGTTTTAAACTACTGGTTTCTCTGTATTAGGTTCCACATTCCATTACCAGTCCTCCAAGCCTTTCTTATGTAGGCCACTGGTTCAAATGCAATCTCAGTCAGTAGTAGCTTGAATCAGATATAATAAGACGACTGGTTAGGGGTCCATGTTAATGAGTGGAATGAAAACCTAAGGAGAGTAAATAATCCAGTTGCTAGGAAAAAGCTGCTTGGACACTTTAATGATGAGCATAGTATAGAAACTTGAGCTCCAGTCCTGTAAAAGGCTCATTGAGGGCACGGAAGATACGTGTTCCTCCAGAGCACCTTGCAGGACAAAGGGGCATAATCAAATGGGAGTGTGTATCACAGAGCCCACTCTCACAATGAGCACTGGTTGACACTATATTGACACACAGCAGAGAAACTGAGCGTTTGATAGACTGGGGAAATCAAGCTAATCATAAAATGTGCTCTCTCCAGCTCAGGGCAAAGCGCATTAGAACATAAGAACAGCCATACTGAGTCAGACCAAAGGTCCATCTAGCCCAGTAACCTATCTGCCGACAGTGGCCAGCACCAGATGCCCCAGAGGGGGTGGACTGAAGACAATGATCAAGCGATTTGTCTCCTGCCATCCTTCTCCTGCCTCTGACAGAGGCCAAGGACACCATTTCTATCCCCTGGCTAATAGCCTTTTATGGCCTTAACCTCCATTAAATTATCTAGCTTCTCTTTAAACTCTGTTATAGTCCTAGCCTTCACAGCCTCCTCTGGCAAGGAGTTCCACAGGTTGACTACATGCTGTGTGAAGAACAACTTTCTTTTATTAGTTTTAAACCTGCTACCCATTAATTTCATTTGGTGTCCTCTAGTTCTTCTATTATGGGAACTAATAAATAACTTATCTTTATTCGCCCTCTCCACACCACTCATGATTTTATATACCTCTATCATATCCCCCGAGTCTCCTCTTTTCCAAACTGAAAAGTCCCAGTCGCTTTAACCTCTCTTCATATGGGACCCGTTCCAAACCCCTAATCATTTTAGTTGCCCTTACATTGGTGTAACAGTTTGGTGAAGAGGCTTTCCTCTCCAGTGCTGTCAGTCTGACACATTTCATTAATGCTAAGTCACCCTGGGTAAGCACACAGTGATGGAGTTATGATTATTACTATGGGTGGAGACTGACTGTATAAGCACACAGGAGGAAATAATGAAGTTTAGTGTGCCTCCTCTTGACTTGTGTCACAGCACAGCATCATATGGTGTGATACATCGTATATGATCACAAGATGCTTGAAAATTTCCAGAGTTTAACCCAACAAATATGTACAATCTGGAGGGAAGTACCCATAAGCCAAATGGTATCTCTGTTTGCCAAATACACATTAAAAATTGCAGTTCCTTCCAATTCATTTAGATCTGAGCCTCTGACACAGCAACATTTGCCAGTACAGTTTTTGAGTCCCAAAATTAAGCAGGTGTCAGTGAAATTAGATTAATCTGCTTATGTTAGTAGGGAATTTGACTATCTCCTGGTCCTTTGTTGCTTGGAGTTCGTAGCGGTGATGATTTTCCTCAATGGAAAAGTAAGTCTTTCGTTTTCTCAAACCTGTTTCAGGGCATTGAAGCTCCCCCAATATAGGAAATGGCTTGTGTTGAAACACCTGTGTTACCATCCTTGTGCAAGCCTATCCTTATGAAAAGTACGTTATGAAAGAGGACGGTGGTAGTGAAATTTAATTCTTTTTTAGCAATTAAGGTAAAATATACATGAGTGGTGACAATAGCCTTATGTGTAAGGAGGAAGTTTACTTGTTTTTACAGTAGAAAGTTCAGTCAGTGTGATCTTCTGTTCTGTCAACAGGCAAAGTTTTGGCCCGGGTTTCCTTCCACCTGCAGAATTAATGCACCCAGACCAGCACCAGTCTGATGGTCAATACTCCTCCCGAGGGATATACCCGGAAGAATTGCCATCGGTGGCACGGCCACGACCAGTTGGAAGCACTGCAGGTATTTTGGGTTCATACTGCACATGCACTGGCATGTTGCAACTTTTTCAAATATGTTCCATATATAGTCATTACCAGGGCTCGACGAACAATGTAATCTACTCACCCGTGGCGAGTAGATTACAAGAGCCGGCGCAGAGGATCTGTGCATGCGCAGAGTGCAGAACCGCACGGCTGGCGAGCAGGGCTCGCCACCGCTTGGCGAGCCCTGGTCATCACTAGTAAGTCATCATTTGCCTTCAGGTGGTACCATGCTGACCAGATAGCAAATGCAAAAAATTGGAGCGAATGATAGGGTCCAATGTAAGAGAAATCCTCTAGTGTTAGGACAGTCCTAAAATCAGGACATCTGGTCACTGTTCCAAATGTAGGCATTGTTTTCACTGCCAGCTAACTATTACTAGTTATCCCCTATACAATTCCAGTGGAGACAGGGCACTGTAGTTTTTGTTAGCTTGAAAGGCAAGGTCATCACTGTCCCCAGCCCTGAGCCTAGCTGCCTCATGATAAAAACTGCAATGTCTAGTCTCTACTAGGATTTTCAGTGGGACAGCAAATGTGTATTAGCTATCCTGTGGTTAAAAACACTTTTTTTGAAGAGAAAAGGCAGCCTAAAATAGCAAACAACTTCAGCATTTGAAAGGGAGTTCAGTGAATGTTGATTTTTCACAGGTTACTGTGATACTTCCTTTTTGGTAAATTAATCAGTAATGGATATCTTCTGGAGAATACATTCTATTCAGAAAAACATTCCTATTTCTCCTGCATATTTTTTTTTCCTTACTAGGGACACTTGGGTAAAACCCAGGATCTTTTGGTATCTGACTAAGTCTATCTATAGAGCCCTGCAAATCTGTAGGTACCTACGTTCATGGATGTGGATAAGGATATCAACAGCTTATTTTTGCAGATACAAATTTTGTATATCTGTTTTCTGCTGTTCCACATTAAATCATCTTCCCTGACTAGGAGACAATTTCCATTGAAAACAAGGTTCTGCCGTAATTGAGTTTAAGTGACAGTTGCTGATGAACCCTTAAGAAATAGATTCCGTTCTCATGTAAATGTCATTATTGACTTTCTTCCAAAAGAGAGGAAATTAAAATACTGAAAATATAACTGTGCTCTAAATTAGACAAGCCCATGTTGTAGTCCAGGGAACTAACTTTGACCTGCAGCTTTCCACTTCCTATAATTGTGAAAAGTGACATTGGTGTGAGGTTGTTCATTATTTCATATGTGATTTAATTTATTACAGTATTTGTATTGTTCTTTAAGTGTCTCTGACTGATCAGCTGCAAACTTTAGTTCCTGATTAACTCAAATAACCAGTTTTTATTCTTCAATTAAGGAAGATACAAGAACAGCCAAATATCAGTTTTATGATTTCTTTAAAAATTTATTTTAAGGAAAGAAGAGTAAAGTGAATATTACTTGCAAGTTAGGTAGCTTGTCTGTGTCACTCCCCTTCCCTTCCCCTCCCCCCACAAAAAAACCCATGCAACTCTTGAAAACTTTGTAAAATGTTCTTTAAAGTTATTTCACTTCTATTGTACTTAAAGAAAACATGTCCCATCATAAAGGAAATTGGGGGAGGAGGGAGTAAAGTTATGTTGCTAAACGTTTCTCTTGTAATTAAGGACAGTGGCTCTCCTGGAGTTCAGTAGAAAACAGTGGGACGGGTCTGAATTTAGGCTCCACGTTGAGTTGTTAAAATAATTTAGCTGTGTACTGACTTCCCCATTGGTTAATGTCAGTACTGTTTAATCTTTAAGCACAAAGTAAAGCAGAAAAAAAATATATAGCCATTTATTCATTATGGTTCTGAGGGATAGAACATAAAACAGTGCTTGGATTTATGACCTTGCTGGGGTGATATAAATAGATGTGGGATTTCTGTGGTCTTTGTTTTAATGACTGGCATACACCTAAAATCTACATTCAGTGTCTGGTGTACACATCCATGCAATGGTTTTTTTTTAAAATCAAATTAAAGGTAATAAAAGTCATTGAATTTCAAGTGAACTGCACCAGAGAAAGAAGGTTACCCCTCTTCAGTCTGCACTGGTATGCGCTTCTCTGCTGATTCTGATGAGTGTGTGAAACAAAAACTTTTAAGCGTCTTTTTATTCCGGCCTCTGAACAACCCCCACTCCCCAAGTCTATTTGTTAGGATGTTTTGGGGTTTTTTTCTTTGTCTTTTGTCTGCCCTGCAACTTATTGCATATAAAGATGAAAAAACAATATTTGTTTTTAAGGTTCTCAGATACAGCACCTCACTCAGGTGGGAATTGCTAGCAGAATCGGAGCCCAACAAGTGGAGATTCCCTCAGTCAGAGCAGGGCATGGCCAGCCGGGGGCACCAGGGTGGCCCCAGTATCGTGAAGAGGATGACTATGCTAGGAGAGATGCAGTGAGTAATGTGTTTCACATTTGAGTAGTTTCTGAAGCAGTAATACGTTCAGTTTTTGCCTGTGTTGCTATTTGGTATTTCTTCTGAGGATTCTTGCTTTTCTGACTTCTTTTGCTTGCTCTTCCAACCTTCACTAGCTCTTCTAACCTCTCTTGCTTGCTATTTTTTTCACTGCTGCTTCTCTAACCTCTTTCACTCACTCTTCCCTAATCTCTTCCTCACTCAAAGTCTTCAACCATTGTATTCTGGGTACAGTTCTCCACTTCTACCCCTGAATTCCAGAAGGAGTAGAGTCTGTTGTCCATGCAGTTCTTTAATTTGAGATAATTGCAGGTAGAAAACATTGCACTCTACCTAGGTTCTCTGCTTGCATGAACTGGCATAGTGCCATTACTTCTATGGAGCCGAACCAGTACATATGGGGAGATAAGTTGCATGCTAAATGTAGAATTAGGTGTGTCATATACAAGACAAGATGTTTTCCTTTCACCTGTCAACAACATATCTGTACATTTGCCTAGATTACCACACAGGCATCATGATTTGACAGACTGCTGCTTCCAGAAGATAGACTTTTTGAATAAGCCATAAGCATTGTGATGTTTCAGCTATTGTATTTTCTTTCTCAGGAAGGATGTGTATACCTGTCACCAGTGTTTCATACACTTGGTCTTTAAACTCCTTTTCTACTTTTACTGAACTAGGCCAACTTTCTTACAGTATCTTTTTGGAGATAACCCTTTTATGCTCTGTCTGTCTTCCCCATGCTCAAGTTGTCACCTCTGTTCTAATTCATCTCCTGCCTGAGGAAGAGAATTTCCTCCTTTGTGTACTTCCAGCAGCATTTGTCCCCCCTAGCATTGCTGTTTTCCACATGCCAGGTTGTCTTAAAATAGGTGTATTTAACAAAAATATAGCAACTCAACAAAAACAAAATTAAGCAGGATTGGGGCCTGATTCTCAGAGGTGCTGAGCACTTCCTTTTAACTTCAGTTGGAATTGTGGGTGTTCAGCATCTCTGGAAAGGATGTAAATATGACTTTCCAGAGATGTAAATATGACTTTCCTCATTCTATGCAAAACATAGCTAATGAAGCCAGAATGGTCTGTCTGTGACTAATACAGTGTGATGCTGTTGCAAAAAAAGCAAATATGATTCTAGGTTGTATCAACAGGTGTGTTGTAAGCAAAACTCGTGAAGTCATTCTGCCGCTCTATTCTGCACTAGTTAGGCCTCAGCTGGAGTACTGTGTCCAGTTCTGGGCGCCACATTTCAAGAAAGATGTGGAGAAATTGGAAAGGGTACAGAGAAGAGCGACAAGAATGATTAAAGGTTTAGAGAACATGTCCTATGAAGCCAGGCTTCATGAACTGGGCTTGTTTAGTTTGGAAAAAAGAAGATTAAGGGGGGACATGATAGCGGTTTTCAAATATCTAAAAGGGTGTCACAAGGAGGAAGGCGAAAATTTGTTCCTCTTGGTTTCTGAGGACAGGACAAGGAGTAATGGGCTTAAAGTGCAGCAGGGGAGGTTTAGATTGGACATTAGGAAAAAATTCCTAACTGTCAGGGTGGTCAAATATTGGAATAAATTGCCAAGGGAGGTGGTGGAATCTCCCTCTCTGGAGATATTTAAGAACAGGTTAGATAGACATCTGTCAGGGATGGTGTAGACGGAGCTTGATCCTGCCTTGAGGGCGGGGGGCTGGACTCGATGACCTCTCGAGGTCCCTTCCAGTCCTATTATTCTATGATTCTATGATTCTATGAATACAACTAGATATTTGCAGCCCTGTTCCATGCTTAGGATTGTGGTATCCAAGTAACTCATTACGTTCTGGTCAGGATAAGCACCCTAATGCTTGTTTATACCTACACCAGCACTAAGAGGAGAGAGATTACAGGCTCTGTTGCATGCCTCTTCCAGTAGCATCTCAGGGTTGCCAGGTATCATAATTTATATTTCACTCCTTTCCGCATACAGATCAAGGAACTTTAGTTTCATAGGACTGCAGAGCTTTTTTTCTCAAGTGCATATGGAACAATATAGCATTCTTCTTCTTAATGTATTACTTATTCTACACAGTATTGTTCTGATTTCTGTCAGGATCAGAGCCCCATTTTGTGAGATGCTGTGTAAGCCATTGTTTAATTCAGACATCATTATCTATCTCATATACTCTTCCAATGTTGTCTCTATATTGCCACACATTTCATGAAATTATTTTTTCCTTGATAGGCAGTCTCTTCATTTTCTTTCTTCATCAGGTCTTGGGGGCGTTATTGAGCATTTCAAAACTTCTGGACCCATTTCAGAGGATTTCATTGCCCTTCTCTTCAGTTAGCGCCTTTTGTTACCATTTCAAATAGTCATGCTTCACTTTAATATTGTTTCAAAATACATCCTTTCCCTTAGTGAATTGTGTTAACAATTTAATTATGTTCTTTGCTTTAGTAGTCTTTTTGCTTTTTGATTGCTGCAGTGCAGGGGTTTATGATTTTTTTCAGTTTGCTAAAAAAAAAAAGTAATGATTATAACATGGATTAAAACCCTACAGAACATAAGTTCCGTTGCTTGTCACAGAGCTCACCTGAATACCTATTCTGCCTCTCATGTAGGGCAGTTACTCTTCCCTCCTTTTTACTAGGGGTAATTAAATGGAAAAAAGAGAGAGAACAGTTAAATCAGTGCCCTAATCTGACCACTCCTTTTAACAGAAAGCAAATTCTTTTTCTATTGTAGCTTCATAGCCTGATTTCTTTTACTACTTCAGGTCTTTGCAGTTCTTTTTGGACCCATGATATCTGGAGGCTTTAAAAAGTTTTCTTTGTTACGATCATTGTGCGTGCTAAGGACCCTTTCACCAGTGTTGTTGCTGCATGTGCTGTCTGCCTCTCTGGCATGAACACAGATTTCTGGTGGTATCCTCCACAGTTAGGCAAGCTAGAACTAGACTATTTTCTTCCCTGGTTGAGGCAGGTGGATTCTGATTTTCTTATGTTCATGTGATGGACTCTGTTCCCTGACATTATTCTGATCTCTGCTCCCCACATTCTGCACCCTCAGATTTTCTCTGTGATATGCGGATATGAGTCTTTAGTCTTGCTTTCTGACCCAAAATCAGCAAGCAGGTCACTGCACCTCCCCCTGCTCTTCCACTAAGCTGATCCAAAAAGGCTTGATCCCTACTCCTTTGAAGTCGGTGGGAGGCTTTTTATTGACTTGGGAGGGATCTGGGATCGCTAGAACAAGTTACAATATTTCCTTTAGGAGACAGTAAAATGTAAAAATGCAGCCCTCACTGTCATTCTTTGTGTCAAAAGAGAGCATCTTATGAAAAAGGAGGGAATTGTAACAGAAAACACGAATGAAATAGGTTAAATACTTAACAGCCGCTCATGTTACTTCAAGATGCATCTATAAGGTAGAAAGCATCTTTGTTTTTTACAAGAAAAGGAAAAATAATAGAGTAAATCTGCTCCCATAAATTCTTTTATGCCTTTTTATGATAGACCATCTTTGTTATAATCCATTTTATTGATGACATTGTGAGCTATTGTGTCTCAATTTGACAACCTTACATTTGTTTAACAAACTGGTATAAGCTGCAAGCACACAACTATAGCCACTTGTGCTTTTAATAAGATACCAAGAACCACCTAGGCTGCTTTAAAACCAAAACAATCAATGACCAGGGTCAGCAAACATTCTCTTTTACTTCCTCTTGGAAACCATTCCTACAGTTCTGATTATGGTTCTGCTTCCTAGCTAGCAAAATACACAGTGACTTCTGATGTTAATGTACTCTGAGTGTAGCTTAATTTGCAGCTTCAGTGTCAAAAGGAGTTTGTTTGCTTTTTTCAATTGGGCCCATAGAACCTATACCTCTTCAATATTAAATTAAACTGCCTGTCAGATCTCTTAACCAAAACCACAGCAAGTAAAGATTATTTGAGTGCATTTGGCAGGGATGCCTCTACTTCAAAAAGCACAGCAACAATCCCTTTCTAATAACTGAAATTATTTCTTTCTTATAAGTGATATGGGATAATACTTACAAGGGGGAAAAAAGCCCTACTTTATCCAGGAGAAATGCATTAATCTTCCCATCAAAGCTCCTTTTCCAAAAAACAAGCTGCAATATACATGAGCTATGCAAGATAGCATCCTACATATTTATGGGGATGTGATTTCAAGGTTGTCATTTTAACAGAAATCCCAAGCCTGTTCTTTAGTCATCGTCCATTACTAGTTTCCAGATTTCCCCATTCACAGTACAAAAACCATTAAAAGAGACTAAAGAGGAGAAGTTTTGTTTAATGAAGTTTCTTTCACTAAGTTCCCCTGTTTTCCTCCTTCACTTCAACTAAAACCCTCTTTTGTTTCTTAAGCAAATAGCACTAGGGAACAGAAACAGAGCATATCCCTTATTGACTTGGGATAGTTCAGTCCTAACCCAAGGCAGTTATTCTAAAACCGGTAGTTCAAACAGCTCTAGAGAATGAAAAAATGAAATTTTTCTTGGTGAGCCTTTCTCTGAGTCTGCTTTTACTGACTGGGACCCTATTGATCTTGACACAGTCCATACACATGGTGACAGTCCCTGCCTTGAGAAGTATAGGACCTGATAGATAAAAGTGGACAAAGGGAAGTAATACTGTTCCCATATTACAGCTAATATGGGGGACTGAAACATGGAGAGATTAAGTGACTTGCCCAAGGCCCAAAAGGGAGTTGATGGCAGAGAGGGGAATTGAACTGGTTCTCCCGAGTTCCTGTCCAGTGCCTTATCCACAAGACCAGACTTCCTTCCATAATTTCCATATTTAAACATCAGACATTGGAGAATGACCAGATTTTCACAGGCCTTAGACGAGAATATGGGAAACCCAGAACATGGGACAGGCCAGCAATGTATTTGTATTGTGCCTTGTAAGCAGACTCACTCATTCCAGCAGTAGAGAACTAGCAGGGGATAGATATAGCTCCATGCTGCTTTTTTTCCTCTCTTCTGTGCCTTCTCTCTTTTCTCAAGCTCATTGTGTTTTGAGAAGGAAGAATCATTTATTTATTTATGTATTGCATTTTTCCAGACTCATATGCATGGACATCAAGAATATTCCTCCTCACCAGCATTCCAGATGCAGAAGACTTCAGCCAGACAGCCCTCGGCACCACCTGCGCATCTTCCACACAGCAGCCTTCAGGGGCAGGGCCTCTGCTACACCACCAGTTCCAATGAGGACCTTCAAACTGGTCACTCCTCTGCATCTCTCATAAAAGCAATTAGAGAGGAACTTCTGCGCCTCTCACAGAAACAGACAGCAGTGCAGAACTTTCACAGCTGATTTGTCGTGTTCATGCAAATCTTCCAGGTATCTGCTTCCTATGGAAGCAAGACTCAAAGGAAATCAGCAATGTTTTCCTTCTGTCATCAGAGCGAACTTCCACAGCGCCAGAAATTACACATCAGAAAAGAGCAGCAATAGAAGGGGAGAGAGAGAGAGGTGTGTGGAGGCAGGGATAAGGAGGCCATACGTGGTATTGTCAGAGCTGGCTATCCTGCTTAATCTGTTAGCATCACTGTGCCCCTCCTTGGTTTGATCTAATGAACAAAGTTAAACTTTAGTTCGAAAGCCAGCTCTAAAAAAATACCACACGCACTACCCCCATCAAGAAAAGAAGAAGGTAAAACTTCTTGCTTAAAGAAGAAGGCAAAACTTGCCTATTACCAGCAAGAGGGATTGAATTGACATTTCATGAAGAGATAACAAGAATTCTAACCTCTCCAATATATTTAGGGAAGTGGCTCATGTTGCTGCTTTCCAAGATTGCAAACCATGCAAGATCAGAGATGCTGAAGGTGCAGTCCAGCACAGGAAATCACCTTAATGACAAAAACAGTAAAACTGCTTAGAAAAAAAAGAATTTGAGCTACGTGTAACAAACCAGAACAATAATTGTTATAGCGTTCTCTTTTCAGATGGAGCTACTCTCTGCACTCCTCCTCATTTTTCTGCTGGTGCTGAAGCTTCAAGTGTCCCTTCATCTTCATGTTTTCAAAGTAAAATCATGGCCGCCTTAAACCCAAGAATAGATCTGTAGACTCATGCAGAATGGGAAAGCAAAATGTCCAAAAAGAAAAGTCTGGATATTTATTCTGTTAAAAATACATTGAAATCTAGATGGGAATTCTTAGCCTCAGTTGAATTTTAAAGCATAAGTATGTATGTTTGTCTTCTAAGCTCAGATCCTCACGTACTATATGCTTTCACAAGACCAGAGTTAAAATATCTGTGATTTGCTATGTGGACAGAAAACAAGCTAGTCTGGGTGATATAGGTTCCATCAGCATTAGTTATAAATTTACTGTAAACCATGGCATCTCAGTCATGTCTAGTGAAACTGAATTTTACAAAAGATAAAACTTGGCACTTAGACATTTAGAGTATTAATATAAGCTTAGATTTGTTGTTTGAGACAGTTACTCTATTTCTGTTTTTATTGTCCCTAGAGATGAAAGGGCCTGGTAACAGTGGTGCATGTCCTGGAGCATTTATCGTTTTATCTAGAGTTTAATTTACAATTAGCTATGAGTTTACTAACATTTGGCCATTGCATAATTGTAACCTTGATAATACAAGTGAAAATTCTAACTAAAGTTTGCTTTGTTGGAGTACTTTTCTTTTTACCGTACATTGAATTAAAGCTAGAATGATGGCATAGAGAAAGTTACTATTGGTCAGGAGGGTTAGGAGTTTCATAGTGAGAAAGCGATGTTCTTGACTACTTGATGCTAGGAGTTGGGATTTTCAAACACCAAACCCAAGGGTAGTAATGAATGGCTTAATCAATTGTGAACAATGAAAGGGGTCACCAAGCAGGTGGCTTAGAGGAATGTCCAGGTTTGCCTCATATAGATTCCTTACTTGGCTGATGTTTGAATCAGCGTTGGAATAGTATCATATATGGCATCTTTATGGTGGGTCAGCTATGAGGGTACCCACGTGTGTGTCCTCAATTACAAGACAGATTCACCGTATGATAAAAGTGGAAACAAAAGAGGAGGAACCTTGCCTTATACTTCTAGACACGCACGTGTGACAGTCATTGTCACAGCCACCAAAATTAGGCAGCTGAAGACTGAGTAGCTGGTTGCTTATTAGCATTAAAAAAAGAATTATTATTGCTCTTGATATCAGGACAAGGTTACACTTTTGTTGATCCAAGTTCATCAAATAGGCATATGAGATGCTTAACCTACTAGAGCAGTCTAAGTAAAATTCTGAGATTTATAATCAATCCCCCAGCCTTCATGAGGCCAAACTGAGATACTGAATTTAATCCTGATGCCTGCATAGTGGTGATCAGTAAGCCATCAAGTCTATACATTTTTTTTCATATATTTTTATGTGGCATTCTGAAAATTTTGCCTTTTAGTGCATAACCGGTTATCCCCCTGGGGCAAAGACATTGGATGAAAAATTAGTTTCCTAATAGATTTGTTAAAGTAAACCCTATGGCTGCTTTAAAGTGAGACACTAACACTGAAACCAATTTGAAAAACAAGAGCATTAGTGGGGTAAAAAAATGTACTTGGGCCAGAATTTGTATGCTTTGATATTACTGAAAACTGTTTTCAGGGTGTTTCGTTAAAACGTCTCTCCCTTGCAGCCCAAACTGTCCTTCTAGAACCTATAGTGAAGTCAGATTACTTAACGTCTGCTATCGCTCCACTTACGGGATCATTAATACATTGTGCTTTTAATACATTATAATTAATATATTGTGTGATCTTTAATATAGCATTATAAGTGCACTTCAAGAATACATGGGTTGTTGGGTGTGATGTCTTTATTAAATGCAATACTGTAACCAGCAAACATGGCTAAGACGTCTGGAAGATTAGCTCTGAATTGGATGAGAGGATAGATGATTTACACCAGGCCCTCAGTGCAGCATGAGGAGAGAACATTGGAGTATATCTTCACTTTTAGGAGTGGGGGAATAAGCACTTTTTTCCCAGTTTAATCACCTTGGATAATTTGAGAAAGGTGAAGGATTTAAGTTAGTCTGAAAAGTTTTCTCTAGTACAGCGGTTCCCAACCTTTTCCAGACGGGGACCCATTTTGACAATTCAGGAAGACTTAGTGACCCAAAGCAATTCAAAAACGGGGGGAGGAGAGAGGGCAGAGCCACCTGGGGAGACACTTGGCGACCTTTTTGAAATGTAATGGTGACCCATATTTGGGTCCCAACCCATAGGTTGGGAAACCCTGCTCTAGTATGAAAGACCGTCTTTAAGCCCTGAAGAGTTCATAGAGAATGACAAGAGAGAGAAATGCATTTACCAGTTTTGTGCCTGAGTACCACTCTCAAGCTTGCTAGAGACTTTGTTTGCTATTCGCCGTGGTCCTCTGTCTCCCAATGCCATTTAAAACCTTGCATGTAAGATGCCCAATGCTTCACTGTATAAGAGTGGCCATAACACAAAGGGATTATATGCAGACTTTATTCAACCGCTGAATTGTTGAAGATTAAGGTTGCTCATATACTGCAAGAAAAAAAACTGTCTGAAACATACAAGACAAGATGTGCATTTCTACTTTAGAATCCAGGTAAATGATCCAATACTAATTGGCTGTGTCTACATTGGCACCCTTTTCCGGAAAAGGGATGCTAATGAGACACTTCAGAATTGCAAATGCCCTGGGGATTTAAATTTTCCCCGGGGCATTTGCATGAACATGGCTGCCGCTTTTTTCCAGCTCGGGGCTTTGCCGGAAAAAAGCGCCAGTCTAGACAGGGATCTTGCGGAAAATAAGCCCTTTTCCGGAAGATCCCTTATTCCTGATTTCAAGTAGGAATAAGGGATCTTTCGGAAAAGGGTTTATTTTCCGCAAGATCCCTGTCTAGACTGGCGCTTTTTTCCGGCAAAGCCCCGAGCTGGAAAAAAGCGGCAGCCATGTTCATGCAAATGCCCCGGGGAAAATTTAAATCCCCAGGGCATTTGCAATTCTGAAGTGTCTCATTAGCATCCCTTTTCCGGAAAAGGGTGCCAATGTAGACAGAGCCATTATGTATCTATTACCAACCAAGTATAATGGTTTTATTCACCTTTCAAAAGGAAACCAGACCAGGTTGTTATTTTTTTCTGAAAGAGAAAACAGAGTGTGTTTCAGGATGAGGGAGAATTACGTAGGCCAGCTAGGTATATGTTTCTGTCCATTATCCTTTTTATTATAATACTGTTGTTACAGCTTTGTGGAAGAACAGAAGGCTAAATTAAAAGTATATGTTACTAAAGCTCATCAATCCCATTGATCACTTGGCTCGTATGTACATGCTCAAGAAGCAATGATACTGATATTAATTCCATGGTTATACCATTCCATCCTGTAGATACCTACAAGCTGTCATGACCCTGTACAGTTTCCTTATGTATTGTGAGTGGCCAATTTGAAATATACAGCTGAAAGAAAGAAACTGGCAAAATGAAAGCTAGATATTTTAATTATCATGAAGTGCTGACCTCTAGCCTTTTTTATACTTAGTTGTTGGCGCTAATTGATATACTTTAGAATTCTATACTTTATTTACTTGGTCATATGGACGGTGTCGTGTCTTTCTTATGCTTCCCAAAGATAAAACATAATTCACTAGGGGACTATATTAATGCCCCAGAGATAGTTTTCAAAGATAGTGTCACTTAGGAAACACTGATTAGCCTCTGTGACTGTGTGTTTCCGAAAAGGGAACATTGGTGGCCAGATGGGCTTAGTAGCAGGAAGTGTTTAAAACCTGAACTTCAAGTGAGAGAATCATCGAACACTAGAACTGGAAGGGACCTTGAGAGGTCATTGAGTCTAGTCTCCTGCCCTCATGGCAGGATCAAGCACCATCTAGACCATCCCTGACAGATGTCTATCTAACCTACTCTTAAATATCTCCAGTGATGGGGATTCCACAGCCACCCTGGGCAATTTATTCCAGTGTTTAACCACCCTGACAGTTAGGAAGTTGTTCCTAATGTCCAACCTAAACCTCCCTTGCTGCAGTTTAAGCCCATTGCTTCTTGTCCTATCCTCAGAGGCCAAGGAGAACAATTTTTCTCCCTCTTCCTTGTGACGCCCTTTTAAGAAGGTATTTCTTCAGTCAGATATTGCTCCAGAGTCAGAGCACTTTCCAACAAAGCTTCATATCCAGGATTCGGAGGGTGTCTGCTTCACCTACAATGCTCACTTTTTAAACTCTGCATTCAGATTTTTAAAAATAAGCCCTAGAAGTTGTGCACCTTTATCCAGACTTATTTAGGTTGCCATAGACAAAGGAGCATAACTTCAGGCTCCCATTTTTAAAGTCTTGTCTCTCCCCGTCCCTGTATCTTGGGCATCTGCTGCCTTTTTATAATACTATTTATACTAAAAGGAAAAGGAAATTATGTAAGTCACTATCACCAACCTCTTGACATTCATAGGTTTCAATATGGCTGTAGATTAAAGCTTATGGGAGGAAGGGTAAAGCTGAATTAGAAAAGGAGAATTTTCAAAGTGGTTTTATGTTTCAGAAGCACACCAAGGCTGCTGGGTGGCTCTTCTGTGCATGCGGAACATTCTTGGAAGGGCAAGTTTGTCAGGAAAATTACTATAAAACTTGCTCAGCAAATCGACTCATGTTCATTCGATCAGATTTTCTTGATCGCTTTTTTGTTACGCCTTGTAACACTGCAGAACCAATACAGCTCTGGTAGAATGAACTGGATTCTGTTGCTGCTCACTTGTCAACAGAATCAATGAGTATAGCGATGCTGCAGGCTGAAGAGGTTTTTCAATTAATGTATTTCATGGTATCTAGGTCAAAGGAAGAACTCCATCTACAACTGGGGTTAGGGTGACCTGCATTGCACAGAACACACAATTTTCCACAGCCCAGAGTGACATAGCTAAGTTGATCGAATTTAGAAGGGCAGAGCAGGTGTGAGTTCCAGTAATTAGTCCGTTTTCTGCCCGCATCTACACTTCTGCAACTCCTCTGAAAACTGTTGGGTTGCAAAGATCTCTGGCCCACAGATCTTTTGTTGTTGCTGGTGATGATGTGTTAGCCAGAGAACAGCCAGCTTGATTGTGAGTTTATAGGTATATGGAATCGCCTGAGAAACAAGAAATGTAGTACTCCTGAATGTCTTTTTAAAGAGTCACTTCCCAGGACAGAAGCTCAGTTCAGAGTTCTGTTGAAGGCCAATGAACGGAAAAGTGATGTTAGGGCATTTACTCTAGAACAGCACGCAATAGGTCTCTATCTATGTAAGTTGTAGGGCTGCAGTATTTAGTTTGGTGTGTGGTTACTGATGTATTTCACATTTAGAGCAAAGATTTCTCCGGGAATGTCTAAGCCTATTTTGTTTTCAGTAATTCTGGCTCCATAACTGGAGTTTTATGTTCAGACTACTCCTCCCTATTGCCTTGATCAGTATGCATGAATGGATGATGCTAACCATCTATGCATATTTAATGTGGATTTTTCTGGTTTCATGTTATTGTAACCTTATAGTCATTGCCACTAGTAACTTTGAAAAGTTTCAGAGAAATGAGAATCAAGCGAAGATGGAAAAGAAGCTGAGACTGAGAGTTGTCTGGTCTTCTGTTGAGCAATACTTAACGGCACTCCTCTGTCATGTTCCACTGGCCAATTTCCTTAGTAATTTTTGAGGCAGAAATGGTATTGGCTTCTCGGTCAGACTTCTCGGTCAGACTGTTCATTTTGGGCTGTCTTGTAATATGTAGAATTTGAGAGCAATAGCTAGAGGTTGCATTCATTTTCCATAGAATGCAACCTTGCTTTTCCTTATACCAGTATACAAAACGAAGTGCCATTGTGTAATACAGCACTGTTAATCTTGTCCTGGATTTAAATGGCAGACCTGAATGAAGGGTAGTTCTGTAGTTAAAAGACAACATTGAAATATTAATAAAGCAGGAAATTAGTGAATTTTGGAAACAGGAAAACAACAGATGGAGTTGTAAATTAAGCCATCATCTGTGGCAGCTTTAAAGATGTAGCTTTGTTGTTAAATACTAAACCAATTAAAGGGTTATCAACCATTAATGTTTCTGGCACTTACCAGTAGTAGAGTAGTAAGCTGATTTATGTATTGATTGGTACAGGTGGTATTAAACCATGCTATCCAGATTAAAGTCATACCAGATAGTTGGTAACCGATATTTATATAGCACATTTTAGCAAAAGTTCTCAGTGTCTGACATTTATAAACCATTTACAAACTTAGGTACGTTCTGTACTCATTGCAGTGTTTCCACTTCTGAGGTCGAAGGTGGGAATGTTTACACAATACATTGCAACCGTTCAGGATACAAAGTGAAGAATCCCCTATTCGGTGCATGCCATAGGGGAGTTTCACCTAACTAAAATTTAGCCAGGATGCTGGAGCCAACCATCTTGCTCTGGTGGAAAGTGTAGTAGGATTTATGCTAACCATAAGTCTTGAAGGATATTTGTCCATTCAGACAGAGAAGCTCTCCAGCGACCCAGGCCGCTCCGGCTACTCAAACATGTTGGTTCAGAATAGACTGAGAGAGAACGGGGCAGCCCATCCATATAGGCGAACTAGGCAGACGCCTAGCGCACCAAGTTAAATGGGGCACCAAATGGTGGCGCAATATCATTGAGGGGTTTGGAGGTGGGGGCGCCGATTGCATGGTTCGCCAAGGGCGCCAGTTGCTGGCAGCTAGTCTAGGGCCGCCCCTGAGAAAGAACATCACATCCTGAAACCACTATTACCACTTCCTGCTGCATTCTGAGGTGGGATTTGAGAAGTGTTCAGCACTACTTGGTTGTGCTGCTACTGAAGCCGTTCAGAGTTTTAATATTGACTTCAACTGAGGCAGAGTTTAGGCTCGTGTGCAGAGCATTTTAGAAAATCCTACCTTTCTCTGCCCATGGAGGACTCTCTCCCTTAGAACTGCCAAGGCTCAGGCCTGCTTAGCTTTTGGGACATGTTAGAATGGCAGCCTGGCCTGAAATATTGCAATGTGGCTAGAGCATTGGAGAATCAAGTGAGTATTAAACCTTACCTTACATTTGTCGTCCTGTATGCTTGAGGATGTGTGTTTAATTATGCCACTTTTGAGTCACTGTTTGTCTGTGCTATAAGTACTACTGTGCTGTATACACAAGGGGCTTAGGTTGGCTTAACTACATCTCTCAAGAAAATTGAATTTTTCCCACCACTTAGCAATATAGCTAAGGTGACCTAAGTTTTATATGTAAACCAAGCCGCAGAGGTGACTGTTTAGAAATTGAATTTTTTTTCCTTCTATACCAGCAACATTTCGCAGTCCCTGCTCCTATTTTTGCTACTGCGTCCAATGCAAATGAGTTAGCTGGATGTTCCTTTTACGATGATCAACAGTGAAATACTGATACTTAATTGCTAGCAAACTGACCTCTTAGATTTCAGAGTTGACATTCTCCTTAAATGAAGGAGCAGTTCTATAGCTGTCATTTCAAGCTGTTGGCAGATACAAGAAGATGGTTTACATTCACTGTTTACATTCAGGTACATTTGGAAGGTGGTTATTCTGACATAAGGGCTGGATACTTATTCCTTTTAAAGGGAGCGTTTACATACCAGTTTACATCTGTGGCAAGAGGAGGATTCTGTGGCAGATGCTGGAGTACATGAGGTCTTGAGCATACAGTTTTGAGCCTAATCATTGTGGCTTCTCATGAACGCCTGCTATTTACTGTCTTTGGTTATAATGGGAGTAATTAAGTGTACTTCTTTAATGAAATCTATTAAGTTCTGTGGCTTAAAAAACTAGCACTTAATGTCCCAAAGTTAACCTCTGTCTTCACTCTGCATCTTAGATACATGTAGGAAGCCCTGGCACATTCCAGCTTTCATCCCTCTGGTGATCTTGTAGAGTGCAATTGATTAATGTGTTGCCTATTCAGTAAAAGCCCAAAGGACAGCCTCTTGATAGAAACCCTGAGTGAAGTAGTGTGAGTAATTACCACAACAATGGTATCAAGAAAGATGAAGAGTCATGCATGATCACTTCAGCCTTAGCATTAAGGAATAAGGAAAAACACTAATGAGATGTTAAATTCCTTGTATTCCAAAGTAAGTTAGTGCCTTTACACCAGAATCATGTTTTTGCTACTAATGCTCATTTATTTCAATGGCACTTGTTGGTATTAGAAAAGCTGATCAGCTGCAAGCATCTTGCTCCTCTATTCATCTATTGGATTGCAGAGGTCTCTTGTTATATTTAAGCTAATGGCACTTTACTCCCTCCTTATCGACACTACATCTCATGCCTGGAATTCGGAATCTTGTTACTCTGCTCAAAACCAAATATGAGTAAGTCTGCTGGTTTGACCAGCGATGATGAAATTCACACTGGGTTTCTTCAATGACATGTCTGTCTTACCATCCAAATATGCTCCTTTTTGCCATTTCTCTCTTCTGGTGGCCAGGACTGAATATGAGAGTTAGTGATGGGAAGACATTTAGTCCATCTTTCTGCCACTGCAGGGTTGTTCTGTTTAAGGTGGTTCTGACAGAGCACACTCTCATGCCATTGGCTAGTCAGCTCTAAATGATTTGAGTGTTGAGGTTTCCATCGTCACCCACAGGAGGTTATCTCAGTTTAATACATCCCACAGGTAACTAATCTTAATTTTTGCATGCTCTGACTTAGACATGTGGGTACCTAAAACATACTCTCATAACACCCATACAGTATATACTTGCTCAAGAGTTGTGAGGTTTCTGGCAGGTGAAAATGAAGCTTGCACACAAATGAGTCAGGCTTGACGTGCTATTCTGTGAAAGAAAGATTGGTTGTCTTTGCTAATTTGTAATGCAGAAATGAAAATTCGGGACAGTTGGTGTATATTGCTATAGCTCCATTGAGGTCAATAGATATATGCAGATTCACACCTGCTGTGGTTCTGATCTGATGCATTTATTATGAGCAGTGTGACTGTAGTAGACTAAATGTTTCAAGGTTTTGCATTAAGAACATAGTTGTAAAAGGTGCTATACTACTGAATCATCTCTGGCTTGCAAATTAAAACTGGACATCTTACTTGATGTGTGTCTTCTCATTCACAAATCTTCTGTTGTGATTTTGTCAGTCATAAGCTTTTTAACAGCTTCACAATATAAATCCTACTGGGATGTTTTTTCCACCTCCTACACACTCTAACAAACGTGCATATCACAAATAAAGTTATGGTTGTACTTGGGTATTGTACATTGTTGTACACCAAGTATGAGAGACCCTGCTATACACACGATAGTCCATTAATTATTTTTCTGCGTGCCTTTTTTTAAGGCCCATTTCTAGAATCTTTTGGATACAACCTTTTATTTTGCACTTTCTACAACTGCTGTCTAATTCATGAAATCCTGTTACTGGAAGAACCGTCAGCTGTTTGCCTTTTGAGTGTGTGTATGTAGATTTTTGCATTGTGCTTGTCTCTCGCAGCACGTCGTCATTGCAAAAATATAACACATGCCTCGTTGACCGTCACTATTTTTGGAAGAGTTTTAATGTCTTTGGAACTTACTATGTACAAATGGGACTGTTAAGTTTTTTGCATTGGTAACCTGTGAGCTTTTTCAATACTGACACACTTCTTGTGAGGACCCCAGAGCAGGGTAGTGGTAGCGTTATACTCACGACATTCATAAACTGGACTACATTTTCCATAAGGATCTTGATCCAAAGCCTGCTGTAGTCCATGGAGTGAGTCCAACTGAAAGGCTATGGATCCAGCCCCAAATATATATTTAAAATCATATGCTGTGTTGTGTAGTTGTCTCTTGTCAATGTCAAATGCAAAGAGTTTATGCAGCTTACACACAAAGCCTGTGCCCTACATACAAAGTTTATACAAGGGTGGGGATCTGGGATATATCCCATTTTGCCACCAACATTCTAAATCATTAATTTAGAATTAATATAATTCAGATCTTCATCTTGATGAGAAGGGGAGGCTGTTGCCCCAAGACAGTAGAGTAGAAAATGTGCTTCATGGTAGAATTGCATGTATCAAAAGCCATGATATTTTCTTCAAATTTAGTCAAGGTAATGAAAGAACTATAGATCTAGCCTATCAGAAGCCATAGCTAATCCCACTTCCATCAGTCGCTAATCTATTTCTGGAGAGCAATCTCCCTGAAGCTGGGGAAGAGTAGGAAGGGTGCTGCAGCAGGTAGACACTAGGCAATATGTGGTGTTTTTGACAATATACCTAACTTTGTAAACCAATAGACAACTTTCCACCATTTTAAAATAATAATTCAGGATAAAACAATTGTGTATATATAGCTACAACATGTGTGATTCATCTGTAGTAACCATCAACTCACTATTCTTTCAGTGATGACAAAATAAAATCCCTTGTTTCTGTAAGTTTGTAAATATACAAGTTTATATATATATTTTGTGAAAAAGGAGTAGTTGGCGGGTCCAACACCAATATTTGTCAGGTGAATGTTGCTTTTGTTTAATTTTTGCATGTTGAAATGGTGACGTTTTCTTGATGAGCAGTGCTTTGTGATTGTTTCCTACTGGTATTTCTGCGCATGTTTAAAAAAAACTTGACAATAAAAATGCCACAATAGAGTAAAGTCCTTCATTTTTAATGCTTCATTTCCTGATGTTAAAATTTCAGCTCGGCATTTCTCTCCCCAGAGGAGCTGCCTTGTATTAAATGGTATCTTGTTGCCTGGTTTCCTGCACATCTGATGAGGACTTCGCAGGTCCCATTGCTGCCCCACTGCTCTTCACTGCTCTGTGGAGTTACTATGTGCCACCACCACACTGGTATAGACAAGGTCTTAAAGGTGGGTTTTTGAATTGATCCTGGTCTAGACAGGAAAGTTGCATGGTTGGAAGCTAAGGTGTGAATGTAAGCTGATTTAGTTAAAAGGGTGCAAACCTCTGTGTTGACACCCTTACTTTGGTTTAACAGAGGCTTTTTAGGGAGTTAGTTTAAGCTGATCTTGAACAGGTTTATGAAAATTCACTTTAGCCTTAAACTAAAGTGAGTTCAGGTGGTTCACACTGCTTTAAATATATCCTTTAAAAACTGATTTAAATGAATCTGGTACAATTTTGAACTGATTCAAGGGAATCCACACACTAAAGTTGCTGAACTAAATCAGTTCTAATTTGAGCCGGCACAGTTTAGTGTGTGGAAATGCCTTCAAAGTGTGGACACTGAAGTCTGCACTAGTTTAAATAAATTAATTTTCGTTTAACCAGTGCAACTTTTCTGGGAAGGCAACTCCGTAAAAGCAGTGAAGTTGCATCAATTCACACCAGCTGAGGATTTGGCCCAGGATATGCACCCTTACCTAGGAAGCTACTAATGGATTTTTTATAAATAAAATTATCTTTACTGACCTGTGGTCTGCACAACTGCCTAAAGGTAGGTACTGAACTGTCTTCTGTACGTGTTATGTGAGCTAGTGATAGGTGAATTGTCTAACTGCAGCTGGCAAGCTCACAGCACAGTGTAAGTATCCAGGAGGGAGAGGGCATTCTGCATGATAGTACTAATGGTAAATTGCTGTAAAGACTGGAATCCACTCCAGCACTTGTCTGGCTTGAGCAGATCTGCTGTACAACCTCCAGGATAAGGCACTGCCATGCCTCGCCTCAATTGGATCTGGACCCATTCTTAGTCTAAGACACTTGGTCGTCCTTCAGCAGAACAGTTATATTGCTTCTTAACCCAGCGGCTCCTCCCTGATGACCATGGCAGATGCTGGTGCTTGCTGGCTCGCCAGGTCTCATGCTTGCAAATACTTGGGTTCGTCAGGCCTGAGTTTCATGACCTTATCCAGGCAGAGCAGGATGAGAGTCAGAAACCAGAGGCTCCAGCCGACAGCAGCAGCAATCCAGCCCAGCACTCAGCCACTTCTGTGCAGAATTGCACATCTGATGGCAGAGAAAGCAAAGTGAGCCATGCAGGATGTATTCACACCCTAGGTTTCTCTTTGCCAGGGGAAGGGAAAGGACTTTGGCATGTACCTGATCCTGGCCCAGACACTCTGCTCCCTGTAACTCCTCGTGCCCGCCCCACTTTTACACACTCTGCTTTTGTGTTGAACATGTAGGGAGGCTGGGAACAGTACTAACCCTCCCATCGAAGAGCTGTGCCCCCACAAGGGGGTGTCCTAGAAAACACTTTTGTCCGCATCTGTCCAGCTGATTGATTCTAGGGATGGATTAAGGTCAGTAGCTGGTTCCAAGAAAAAAGCAAGGAGGGGAGGGAAGGCAAATGTCCCTGGCATGTGAGTGAGCAGGGGTCATTCTGAAGCCGGGAGAAGTCCAGTGGAGGTGAATGGCTCTCAGGAATGTTGGGCACCTGGGAAAGGAGGGTGAGTTTGGCAGCACTGGAGCAGCGAGCAGTTGGGAGGAGGCTCTTGGATTAGTTAAACTCAACGCATTTGGCAGTTGGGGGAGGGGTCTGCAACTAGGTATTGTGGGGAAGGGCCGATCGGCTATTTAAGAAGAGATTTCACACTCGGCATATGTGGCTGGTCTGGCAGGGAGAGGAGGGCCTTAGATCACTGGTGCTCTAGAAAACGGGGGTACGGTTTGTGTGGAAAGGGATGTGGAGGCAAAGGCTGTGCATGCTGGGATAGTTCAGGCCTGTGAAAGTTGTGAACCTGAGCTGCTTGACCCCAGGAAGCACAAGGCCTCAAAAGTCGTCTGTATCAGGTGGATTTAGGATTCTAGTAAAAAGTCTCACAGAACTTATCCCATCAGCTGAGCCTTTGGTTAAGTGTATCATAGCATATAAATTCTACCCCATAGCTGCGCAATCCCACTACGAGGCTTAGGAGCTGCAGGAATGAATCTTACCAGGGCATGGCCATTGGGTCTCATTGAGCGTTGCTCTTGTCATGCCACCGGAGCTGCTTGCAGCTTCTGGAAGGAAAAAGCACAGGAGAAAAGGTGCCTCAGACTGGAAAAGCAAAAATGGGAAATGTCTTGGCCGGGCTGGAGTCTGCTGACCCCAGGCAATCAGATCATAGAGCTCTAGGACTGGAAGGGACCTCAAGAGGTCATTGAGTCCAGTCCCCTGCTCTCTCGGCAGGACCAAGCACCCTCTAGACCATCCCTGACAGGTGTCTGTCTAATCTGCTCTTAAATATCTCCAGAGATGAAGATTCTACAACCTTCCTACGCAACTTATTTCAGTATTTAACCACCCTGACAATCAGGAAGTTTTGCCTAATGTCCAACCTAAAGCTCCCTTACTCATCCTCTTCGGTAAGAAGTACTTGGGTTGAGAGATTTTTCCCATGGCACAGGTAAAATGTCAATGTCTTTTGTTTTCTGCCAGGCCAAGTACCATCTCTGACAATCTGTGTTGTTCAGCTGATCTACAACTATTGCTAGTGACGGAGGAGATTGCCACTTGTCTGGCTGTTTTATGTTACCAGTGCTGCAAGAAGCCACTGCTATTAAAGCCCAGAGGTCCCAAATATGTGTTCTAGAATGCTACCACCTTTGGTTTGCCTTCCTCTCATACCCCATTCTTATTAATAGCTTAGAAAGAAGAGTCTTCTAACTAAAGGCATAAAGAATGTTTAATTTATATCATGGCTCTGTTGTGCCAGGCACTCTGCAAACACAATAAAGGTCAGTCCTTGTCCAAAAATTTGCAGTCTAAATAGACAAGAAGGCTGAAGAGTGGGCTGGAAAGAAATATTATCCATGTTTGTACAGCTCAGGAAACTGAGGCCAAAGTTGGGCTTTTTAAAGGAGCCTGGGAGTTTGTCTTCCTTCCACTAGTTCCTTTGGAAAAAGCTACCTGAAGGCACCGCCCGTTGTCCTGGCACAACCAAACCCTGACCCTGCTTTAAGTTAGGACGAGAGGAAGCTGAATACTGAATGTGGTGGTCCTCGCTCTTACCTTCTGAGTTCTTTGACAGCCAGACAGACAAACTCTCTCAAATATAGAGCAGGGTCTAGACTGGCATGATTTTCCACAAATGCTTTTAACAGAAAAGTTTTTTTCCGTTAAAAGCATTTGCGGAAAAGAGCATCTAGATTGACGCAGATGCTTTTCCACAAAAGCACTTTTTGTGGAAAAGCGTCCATGCCAATCTAGACGTGGTTTTGCGCAAGAAAGCCCCAATCGCCATTTTTGCCATCGGGGCTTTTTTGCGCAAAACAATACTGCGTTGTCTACACTGGCCCTCTTGCGCAAAAGCATTTGTGCAAGAGGGCTTTTGCCTGAATGGGAGCAGCATAGTATTTCCACAAGAACACTGACAATCTTACATGAGATCGTCAGTGTTCTTGCGGAAATTCAAGTGGCCAGTATAGACAGCTGGCAAGTTTTTCCGCAAAAGCAATTGCTTTTGCGGAAAAACTTGCCAGTCTAGACACAGCCTAGATATATTGTGTGACTCTTAAGCACATTTTTTATTTCTATATAATCTAAACACAGCACCCAGATGCCCAGAAACTCTTTCGAACTCTGTACTGTGTTCTCTTACTCTGTACTCAGTAAGATTTTTATATCAAAAGACCTAAGCAGATCAGGGGCTTTTGCAAGAAGGATTTGCTTCAGTAGGGATTTTGGTGAATAACATAGCTGAAGTTGCATACCTCTGATCAATCTCCTACCGGAGTGTAGCCCAACCCTCAGGGTACATTGACACACTGCAATAGATAGCCTGTGGCACTACGTCTCAGAGAATGGGTTAGCTAACTCAGTCTCTTAAGGATCAGCTTGCGGGGCTAAAAAGAGAGATGTAATAGTTCGGGCTCAGGCTGGAGGCTGGTCCCTGAGACCCTCCCTCCTTGTGGACTCCCATTCAAGCCTGACTGTCTACACTGCAATGTGATAGCCCTGTACCAGAGTCAGCCGCAGCAGTGCTGTTGGGTTTCCAGGGCAGTTTAGACCTACACTAAGTAGCTCATTTTTTTAAAATCTGCCAAAAGAGTTATGGAAATTCTGACCGGTAAATGCATGCAAGTTCCTGAGAGGAAAACCCTTGCCTTGGTTTAAGCAGGCACTCCTCTCAAGGAAGCAGCAAAAAGTGATGGTTTGGAACAAATGATGGTAAAAGACTGAACCAAATTGTTCTGAACAATTCTGGAAAGTGGTCACTTCACCCAGCAGATTGCATATGGAAGCCACACATCTGTGCTGTAGCTGCCCCAGCTCTTCACATCAGACCGAGCAAACTGCAGCAGAACCAGCAGACTCAGCCTGGGGCATCGGTAAAGTACATAACTGGCAACATCAAATCTCTTCACTACACATTCAACTCAAATAATCCTTTTGCAGCAACTATGGCTAATTTTAACCAATGCCTGATCTTTACACTTCCTAAATAAGGAACACAGGCTTGTTTCTTGCATAAAGAGCAAAATCTTTGTTCAGTCCATTAACCACCTAAGTGCCAAACACCTACAGGTGCAGTACAAGAACCTAAATGGTACAGACTTACCTGCTAAGAAAGAACTCCGAAGACAGAAGAAGACGATAGTGATGGTAACACAGGGCACGATGGGAAAGTGCTTCATGCTGGAATTGTAGAACCTGTCCAAGCAACTGTGCTGATCAATATGCCGTTCTGGGCAGCTCCAGGGGTGATTTTGCAAGTCCTTGATAAAATTCAAGTGTTCGGGGAAAGGGTGGAGCAAAGGAAATTCTTGTTGCCAATACACCTTGAACTTTCCTATCATGTACTGTACAGTCAAAGAGCGAGGCTTTATCCAAAACAAAAATCTCTGTGTTGGCAGCCTTCAGGGTAAGTTAATTACAAACAGTGAGGCCGGTAAAGGTTCCCTGAAGGTCAGGCCCCCAGTTCCTTTAGAGGATCTCTGTAGTAACAGTTAGGAAAGCCCTACTAGAGTAAATCCTTCTTGCAAAAGCCCCTGATCTGCTAATGTCTTTGATATAAAAATGTTATTGAAGCTAATGTGAAAAAGCAACAGAGTGCTGTGGCACCTTAAAGACTAACAGATTTATTTGGGCATAAGCTTTTGTAGGTAAAAATCACTTTGTTGGATGCATGAGAAAGTGGGTTTTACCCACGAAAGCTTATGCCCAAATAAATGTTAGTCTTTAAAGTGTCATAGGACTCCTCACTGGTTTTTGCAGATACAGACTAATTTGGCTACTCCTCTGAGGCTTGTTTAAAGAATGTACATAGTACTCTTTCATGGACAGAGAGAGAGAGAGGTTCTGTACATCTGAGTATCATGCTTAGATTCTATAAAAATGAAAATTTTGCTTAAGAGTAATACGATACATATAGTGTGTAATTAGCAGTAACTGAGATTTAGGTGTGCAAGCTTAACAATACTGTTTGGATATTAGCAATCAAGTATTTGGGTACCTTGCTCATGGGAAGTTTTATGAAGAGCTGGTAGTAGAAAGCAAGTATATCAATGAGTGGAGATTGTCCCTTAATAAGTCAGAATTTAGGGTAGGCTATTGGAAAATAGAATCCATCAGGGACATATTTGAGTTACTTCCCTGGCTGTGCGTCTCATCGATGCTTTGCTATTACCAATGCCTGGTGATGTGCACTATGTAGATGTGTCTCAACCAGTGTCCGACACCATGAGTTGTTGCATCACCCAAGTATAGAGTAGATCGACTCCACATTCTCTCAGTACTTACTCATTACTGGATTCTCATGCACCCAGGGCTCTGACAATCAGCCTGTAAGTTTGAACATCGTAGTCTCTTAGGGTTTCAGCCAGATAGGTGTATTTCTCCAGCTTGTGATACTGGTCCATGTGGAAGGCTGGAGTCTTGTTTTCAAAGGGCACCATGACATCCACCGTGATGTTGTTCTTCCTTTCCTTGGTGGTGGTGATGGTGTCTGGTGGCAGCTGGCAGTTAATTCTGGGCATGGTGGAGTTGACAGACTTTCCTTATGGATGGTAGGATGGCTTGCTCTTACACTTTGATCTTAGCCAGGTGGCTGAACAACTGAAAGAGGAGATGATCAGTGGGGAAATCTGTCTTACATTTTGGATCTAGTCCCCAAAGATTTCTGTACGCTTGTCCATCTTCCCCGCACTGTACAAAGGGCAATCAGTGGGGCAAGTGAGATTGTCCACTGAGAAAAGGACTTCTGAGACCAGTCCTTTTGGGTAGGCCATTCATAGATGTCCGATGATAACGACTGGCTGTCGTTAGTGATCTGCATTCTTATGTGAATTAGAACTTGTTATCTAAGGTACAGCTAAGAGACTAAGAGGCACTTGGAAGAGGGGAGAGTGATCAGGAATAGTCAGCATGGATTCACGAAGGGCAAGTCGTGCCTGACCAATCTGATTAGCTTCTATGATGAGGTAACTGGCTCTCTGGATATGGGAAAGTCAGTGGATGTGATATAACTTGACTTCAGCAAAGCTTTTGATATGGTTTCCCACAATATTCTTGCCAGCAAGTTAAGGGAGTATGGATTAGATAAATGGACTGTAAAATGGATAGAAAACGGCTAGATTGTCCGGCCCAACAGGTAGTGATCAACGGCTCGATGTCAGGTTGGCTGTCGGTTTCTAGCAGAGCGCCCCAAGGATCTGTTCTAGGACCAGTTTTGTTCAATATTTTTATTGATGACCTGGATGACGGGATGGATTATACCCTCAGCAAGTTTGCAGATGACACTAAGATAGGGGGAGAAGTAGATATGCTGGAAGGCAGGGATAGGGTCCAGAGTGACCTAGACAGATTAGAGGATTGGGCCAAAAGAAATCTGATGAGCTTCAACAAGGACAAGTGCAGAGTCCTGCACTTGGGAAGGAAGAATCCCAAGCATTGTTACAGGCTGACTGGCTAAGTAGCAGTTCATCAGAAAAGGGCCTGGGGATTACAGTGGAGGAGAACCTGGATATGAGTCAACAGTGTGCCTGTAATGGGGTATGCACAGCACCACCAGCCATCGGTCCGAGGAATTAGCTCAGACGGCTGGTCACGGGGTCCTTTTCGGGATACTGCCCTCCGGCAGTGCCCTCAACAGTGTCTGAACTCCCCCCTTCCGGGGGT